TTCTCTAGCCTAAGTTCGTCTGACAAAGAAAGACCACATAGAACTGTTTGTGTTTATCTTTACCTAACGTATCCTGTGTGTCGTTCAAGGACGCTCAAATTGAAACGTTCTCTTATCACTCATAGAACACATAAACACGTTAAACTGAAACTTGAACGATAACAAAAAATCTGACAACGTAAATACAAAATACAAATAAATAATTCAATAAAAGATGAATGATTTTTCGAGTTTAACAAACTACGAATTTTCTTTCTAATATCGATAAATCAAATTTGATTATTTTTTCGAATAAAAATAATATAATAATAATTAATGTCGCTAATAATTCCCGTTGCTTGATTTATATAAAGCTATATAAAAAAAATATAATTATAATAATTACAATATTTATAATATACATAATATAATATAATAAAATTAATATAATAATAAAATTAATAATAATATAAATAATAATTCGTTTGTTATATAAAGTAATAAATATTATTTCAATTTTCTAAAATCAAATTTGTTCGAAAATACAATATTATACAAAAGCAAATTGTTAAACGTATAGCGTGCATCGTAAACTTGATCTTACTGTTTCTATCGTTTAAGATTATATACTTAAATACATTCATACCTATATATATATATATATATATATATATATATATATATATATATATATAAAAGCATAAGCAAGTAATGGTACTTACGTTGGTAAATGTGACTATCGTAAAGTTTGGTCATAGCATAGACCACAGGTATATCCTATACGACGTAATCTCACGTTTCTCGCTTATGCGTGTGCTCTTGTATTAACACATTTACTTATACCAACATTATATATTGCACAAGCTACTACTAACAACCCTTTATCAAACTCTTCCTACTCGTATACGTCTACGTAAATGTATCTGTCTAATTGAATGTATGTGTACATGTATGTATGTATGTATGTATGTATATATTATATGTATACACATAAAGTCGACAAACGTTGCACCTAAGCGAATTCTAACAATAGTATTAACGCAGTTTTCCCACATGTATCGTAATATACCAACTAATCTCCACGGTAACGTTAAAATGCTCGTATGAACATTCACATTCTCACGTACGTAATACATCAAACGTATCTCAGGTGCAAAAATTTTTAATTCGTTTCAAATAATTTTTCCTTTTTCTTTTTGTTTCTTTTTACATTTATCACAAAGTTCCTCTGGGGCAAGAAAAATAACGTGTTATCAATTAGTTTTTCTATTTTTTTTTTTTTTTACATCGATATAAAGAAGTAATTTAAAAATATCGTTTTATTTCAATAATAGTGATGAAACAAAAAAAAAAAAGAAAAAAAACCAAAAGAAAAGATAAAACCGTCTCTCGTTAAATCTCATTTTCTTTGACAAACGCAGCAACTTTGATTCGAGGGGTGTTTTTTTTTCTGCCCCCTTTTGAAATTTTCTCATCTCGTTTTGCCGCACACGATGAATTTTTCTTTTCCTTTCTCTCTTTCATTTTTATCATTTCTTTTTGCTCTATTTTCGTATGCTTTCGGGATTCGGTTGTTTTTTATTTTTTTTTTTGTTTTTGTTTTTTTTTTTATTAACGTTTGGGATGATATTTATTGCATGTTTTTAAGAGTAGTCACAAATAAGAAGAAAAATAACAATTTTTATATCAGAAATGTCGAGAACTTTGAAGAAAAATAAAGTTGTTTCAAATTCGCGTATAGTTTAATAATCTGTTTTATCGATAAGATAATTGAAAGACCACTTTACGATGTTCGATTCGAAGTGAGGGATGAACTGATGAAAACGGTGGAAATGGTAGATCTCTAGATGGGGGGGGGAAGAAGGACGGGGGTGAATGGTGAGAGGGTGAAAGAAGAAGAAGAAGAGGTGGGTAGTGGCAAACGGTTGGCTCGTAAACGCATTATAGACACTTCTGAATGCAATTAGAGTCCAGGGAATCGTCGAAGGACTTTGAGGAAGAACTTTCGTCACGTTTTCGATAATCCAAAATCAACTTTAGATGGTAGTCGAGAATTTCCGATATTTTTTTTGTTTCCACTTAAAACGTTATTCTCATAAACAATAATTTTTCACACTCATCTTACTTTTTATTTTTATCATGTTTACTTACAATAATAATTATAATTCTAAACTATTTAATACAATCAAAATAATATTCACTAATAATTTCTGTGAATTCAAATTTGGAATATAACAATTTTTAATATACCTAATATATGATGTATAAATAAAAATACACAAAATAATATTACACAATTAGAATGAAATACATAAAATAATATTAAACGAAAGAATATAGAAAGTAAGGTTAGTTTTATCGAAATAATTGAATTGTAATATAGCACTATCTATTGAAACTTAAGGAACCTTGAGACCCAGATAACCTCTAAATATTAAATCCTTAAATTAGCGATAAAAAAATAAAAAATAAACGCGATAAAAACTATGCTATGTACTAAGTTGAGAAAAAACACACACACAAAATAAAATAAATCCTTAAATTGGCGATAAAAAATAAAAAAATAAACGCGATAAAAACTATGCTATGTACTAAGTTGAAAAAAAATCACAAAAAATACAAATAATTTCATTAACATCAGTTTAGTAGTTCATCAACATCGTTTTTTATATTACTCGCATTTGAAATAATTTTCTTTTTTTATTTTTTCAAAAGGAAAGAGATTCGTTTCACGTTTCTTAGTCAAAAATAATCTTGTAAAAAATCTAAAAAAAATATACGCATTAAAAATTTGTTTCTAATTTGCAATTAATTTCTAATATAAACCTTTTTTTAAGGTATTTTTTTTTTTAATTTAATTTGAATAAATTCAAAGCGAAATAAAATTTGCGCAAAAAACATTTTTTTTCTATACGAACGTAAATTTGTATATAAAATTACGAAATGTAAAAATTACGTGATTACGAAACTCTTCCACGTCGTGAATATTCAAAAGGTTTTCTTTCCGATGGATTATAACTTGTTTAAACATTTACGCCACTTTATTTTTTATTTTTTTTTTTTTTAAAGAAAAAATTGTTCATTAAAGCAATTCAAAACGTCCCCCACCACTTGACAAAAATATTCATTGCTAAAAGTCGAATTTCAGTATAAACGAACGTTAATGTATTTTATAATATTAATTATGATATCAAAATTTCACATTTTAAACAAATTATAATTATAAATCTTATTATTATAAATATCACAATCAAAATTTGACAATATCATCAACTTCACACGTGCAATAAGATTAACAACAATTTTCTATTTTTTTATTAATAATCATCACATATTGCATAAATATATATTTATATAAAAAGAAAATAAAAAGAATATCGCAATAAAAAAAAAAAAAGGATATAAACGTACAATTAATAAAAGAAAAGAAAATTCTTTTCATTTTGTTATATTTAACCTTAGTGAAACAATTTGTTGCATTTTCCTTCATATGTGAGCATCAATACACCTACACGTACGTATATATGTGTGTATAGTTATATCCAATAACGCGGCAACGACCGTAAAGTTCGTAAAGAGCAAAGGCAAAAAGCCTCGACTGACGTTCGAGTTATATGCTTCCGACGTGGCATCTCCTTCTCCGGGGTTGTTTACACAACGAGAAGGGTTTTACCCGGCAGCTTTTCAGGGTAAAACGACCCTTCTTCTCTTCTCTCTCTTTCTCTCTTTCTCTCTTTCTCTCTTTCTCTTTCTCTTTCGTTTTCCTAACAGTTTATTCTCTCTTTGTTCCTCTTACGAAGCAAACCAGGGCCATAGGGCAAAGTTATTGCGAGCCACAATTCACCTGCACGGAAATCTCTTAATCTGAGCTTACAATCGCGACGAATGAATTACGTAGGTGAAATTCTATCGTAGAACCTAGCCACACAACGATCCATTGATGACTACGTATACACCTACACATATGTATGCATACAAGCATGCACACATATGTATATAACTTATATGCAAATAGGAAGAGGACTTAGAGAGTTCGTTAAATCTCACTAAAATATGACGATGAATTATTTTTATTTTCTAACAGATCGTATTTTTATCGGAAACGATAAAAAAAAAAAAAAAAAAAACCAACAAGATAAAAGTGAGATTAGAGAAGTGAAATGGTCTTATCGAAAATGAAAGTTCGAAAATAAAACATATAATATAATATTGTATGCAAAATGTAAGTATACTTATTTAATTCTTTCACGTTTTAAATTAAAACGTTGATCGCTTCTAGCTCGAAATGAGTTTAACTAACCACGCTTTGATTTTACTCCTTGTTACCCGTTAGATTAGACAGCTAACATGTTCAAATAAAGAGCGTGCGAAATTACAGAATATATCATGAGGAATGGGAGGAGTTGGGAGGGAGACTGGGGTCAGGGAAGAAAGTTCTATCTGTCTAAAAGCTTGCAGTGCTTTTTACGAGCTCTAAAAACATTATCGTCGCTAAGTCATTAAACTCGACATCCTTTCTCTATTTCACTTCTCTCTCTCTCTCTCTCTCTCTCTCTCTCTCTCTTTCTCTCTCTCTTATTCTCTTCAACACTATATACTGCAATTTCTAGCTAACCGTTATACATAAATTTACACGTCCAACTATAATATAAGTGCGTCTGTTATGCGTTTGACTTCTATGAGATAATAATAATCAAGTAAAGCTGAAACATTTGAATATTTAATCGCTCCCCATCACGGGTTTACACTTTCGAGTTATATTACAAGGATTCAATCGTTCGTGATAATCGATAGAATAAATTTACAATCGAATATTTACATATGATAGAAACAGTTTAACATACCTCATTCTACACATACACACACACATATATATATATATATATATATATATAT